TTTAGCACTACTACACAAAGAAACCAACTGTTTTATACATATACCGAACTTAATCTTTTAGCACTACTACACAAAGAAACCAACTGTTTTATACATATACCGAGCTTAATCTTTTAGCACTACTACACAAAGAAACCAACTGTTTTATATATATACCGAACTTAATCTTTTAGCACTACTACACAAAGAAACCAACTGTTTTATACATATACCGAACTTAATCTTTTAGCACTACTACACAAAGAAACCAACTGTTTTATATATATACCGGACTTAATCTTTTAGCACTACTACACATACAAAACAACTGTTTTAATATATCGCATTTAATCTTTCAACACTCCTACACAAAAAGAACAACTGTTTTAATACATCGCATTAAATCTTTTAGCATTACTACACAAACAGAACAACTGTTTTAATATATCGCATTAAATCCTTTAGCATTACTACACAAACAGAACAACTGTTTTAATATATCACATTTAATCTTTTAGCATTATTACACAAACAGAACAACTGTTTTAATATATCACATTTAATCTTTCAGCATTACTACACAAAGAGAACAACTGTTTTAATATATCACATTTAATCTTTTAGTATTACTACACAAACAGAACAACTGTTTTAATATATTGCATCTACATTCATTATGGTGTGTTCCCATTTTTAGTTCTGTCAGATAATCTACATCCATCACGCACGGTCCACATCATAGTCATATTGTGAATCAACATTTATAAGGTTGTGTTCTCATTTTTAGTTCTGTAAGATAATCTACATCCATCACGCACGGTCCCCATCATAGTCATATTGTGAATCAACATTCATTATGGTGTGTTCCCATTTTTAGTTCTGTAAGATAATCTACATCCATCACGCACGGTCCACATCATAGTCATATTGTGAATCAACATTCATTATGGTGTGTTCTCATTTTTAGTTCTGTCAGATAATCTACATCCATCACGGACTGGTCCCCATCATAGTCATATTGTGAATCAACATTTATAAGGGTGTGTTCCCATTTTTAGTCCTGTAAGATAATCTACATCCATCACGGACTGGTCCACATCATAGTCATATTGTGAATCAACATTCATAAGGGTGTGTTCCCATTTTTAGTTCTGAAATATGATCTGCTTCAATCAAAGTCTGGTCCTAATTGTAGTTCTACCTGATGATTTAGGTGCACGACAGTCTGGTCGTGGTTTTTATTACCTGTGATAATCGAATCTACAAGTATTAAGTCCTGGTCCTAGTTGTAATTCTGAAGCTTGTCCTGCTTTCTTGTTAGTTGTGTCTCACCTATTGAAAAGAAAAGTGAATGTACGTGTTTGAAAGTTTAGTGGGACACACTGACGTAATAAGTTGTAGCAGTATCGTGACCTTCCTAAACCAGTTTTCGTAACGTAAGTTATAAATACTCTTGGTGAACAAAAGAAATTTCACACTTCAGATAGTCAAATAACAGTTTTCATCGTTGATTCCACTGTCGTTTATTAATACTCGACTAATCATGTTTTACAGAATTTGTTTCGTGCTGCTTACCTGTTTCAGCTCCTCAGTGTGGGTGGTAAGTGTAAAGAAGACTCGTAATATTTATTACTTGTTCCTGCCAACTTCTTAATGTTGCAATAATTTGGCTCTTGTTGTAACGCAACTGTGACTGGAGTAATAGTGAAACACAGCTGTATACTAATGTTACTGTAGTGTGTATATTGGAGTTTTAATGTTATATAGTATGGTTAATATTATAGTGAAGTTTTAATTTCATTGTAGTGTTGGTAATGCAACGTCAATGCTACTGTAGAATGGAGTGCTATTTATACTGTACAGTGGGAAGTATTATTGTCACTGTTAGTGCAGAGTCTTACTGTATAGTGGAGAGTGATGTTTTATTTTTACTGTATAGTGAAGAGTGAAGTGCTATTGTTACTGTATAGTGGAGAGTGATGTTTTATTGTTACTGTATAGTTAAGAGTAAAGTGCTATTGTTACTGTATAGTTAAGAGTGAAGTTTTATTTTTACTGTATTGTGAAGAGTGAAGTACTGTTGTTACTGTATAGTAGAGACTGAAGTACTATTGTTACTGTATAGTGAAGAGTGAAGTACTGTTGCTACTGTATAGTGAAGTGCTATTGTTACTGTATAGTTAAGAGTGAAGTTTTATTTTTACTGTATAGTGAAGAGTGAAGTGCTATTGTTACTGTATAGTGGAGAGTGATGTTTTATTGTTACTGTATAGTTAAGAGTAAAGTGCTATTGTTACTGTATAGTTAAGAGTGAAGTTTTATTTTTACTGTATTGTGAAGAGTGAAGTACTATTGTTACTGTATAGTTAAGAGTGAAGTGCTATTATTACTGTATAGTTAAGAGTGAAGTGCTATTGTTACTGTATAGTGGAGAGTGAAGTACTATTGTTACTGTATAGTTAAGAGTAAAGTGCTATTGTTACTGTATAGTGGAGAGTGATGTTTTATTTTTACTGTATAGTAAAGAATGAAGTATTATTGTTACTTTATAGTGAAGAGTGAAGTACTATTGTTACTGTATAGTTAAGAGTGAAGTTTTATTTTTACTGTATAGTAAAGAATGAAGTGCTATTGTTACTGTATAGTGGAGAGTGATGTTTTAGTGTTACTGTATAGTTAAGAGTAAAGTGCTATTGTTACTGTATAGTCAAGAGTGAAGTTTTATTTTTACTGTATAGTAAAGAATGAAGTACTATTGTTACTTTATAGTGAAGAGTGAAGTACTATTGTTACTGTATAGTGAAGAGTGAAGTACTATTATTACTATATAGTGAAGAGTGAAGCGTTATTGTATAGTGAAGTACTATTGTTACTATATAGGGAAGAGTGAAGCACTATTGTTACTGTATAGTGAAGAGTGAAGTGATATTTTTACTGTATAGTAAAGTGTGAAGTGTTATTGTATAGTGAAGTACTATTGTTACTGTATAGCGAAGAGTGAAGTACTATAGTTACTGTATAGTGAAGAGTGAAGTACTATTGCTACTGTATAGTGAATAGTGAAGTGTTATTGTATAGTGAAGTACTATTGTTACTATATAGGGAAGATTGAAGCACTATTGTTACTGTAAAGGGAAGAGTGAAGTACTATTTTTACTGTATAGCGAAGAGTGAAGTACTATAGTTACTGTATAGTGAAGAGTGAAGTACTATAGTTACTGTATAGTGAAGAGTGAAGTACTATTGTTACTGTATAGTGAAGAGTGAAGTGTTATTGTATAGTGAAGTACTATTGTTACTGTATAGTAAAGAGTGAAGTGTTATTGTATAGTGAAGTACTATTGTTACTGTATAGTAAAGAGTGAAGTGTTATTGTATAGTGAAGTACTATTGTTACTGTATAGTAAAGAGTGAAGTGTTATTGTATAGTGAAGTACTATTGTTACTGTATAGTAAAGAGTGAAGTGTTATTGTATAGTAAGGTACTATTGTTACTGTATAGTGAAGAGTGAAGTGTTATTGTATAGTGAAGTACTATTGTTGCTGTATAGTGAAAAGTGAAGTGTTATTGTTACTGAAAATTCGGCCATAGGAGAATATGTACAAAAAACAAAACAAAAAACAACACACACAACATAGAATATTATGGTGAAAAATGAAACAATCGTATTGGCTCAACCAAATGGTATTAGAACCAATAATATCCGTGAATCTTTAGAAATAATAAAGTTTAAAAATGATTATAGATTATTAAATACAGACGATGGTCTAGTTAATATCTGTGTAAGAATGTGATGGGACCTCCTCTAAGATTGGTGCAGAAATAATAAACTGATACGCAGGTCACATGACCTAGTTAAGAAGGAATAAATATGACACTTATAGCTTACAAGTTCACTACTGATGATGACGTAGTAAACGTCGAAACATGTAGAGCGTACATTTTACAGGCCACAGATTGGCCCGAAATAGAAATGTTTTAAATTGTGTATTTATTTTAACATTGTGTGTTATTTAGTTATTATACAAAACTGCTAAAAAACAATATATATTAAACGCCTCAAATAATAATAATAGCCCCCCGGTGGCACAGCGGTATGTCTGCGGACTTACAATGCTAGAATCCGGGTTTCGATACCCGTGGTGGGCAGAGTACAGATAGCCCATTGTGTAGCTTTGTGCTTAATTACGAACAAACAAAATAATTATAGATACACTGAGCAAATGTGATAGGTATGGTACCTGAAGTTTAAGGTGTTCTTGGGATTAAGGTCGATAGCACCGCTAAGGGCGAAAATACCCAACTGATGACTTAAGGCAGAGTAGTAACAGAGGCTTTTAATAGTTTGCCTGTCACTCGGATAATAGTAATAATTAAGACTAATTATCATTAGTTGTAATTGTTATCAGAAAATTTTAGCAACTCTTGTAGTAGAAAATATTTTATAGTTATAATATTTGCGATTAAATATTTTTTATATGCTGTGCACACTTCGTGGAAAAATGGTAACAATTCGCTCTTTCAAAACGCAGAGGAGGATGGTCACTGTGTCATGTATGATCAGTGTGGGCGTGGGAGGTATGGTCACTGTGTCATGTATGATCTGTGTGGGCGTGGGAGGTATGGTCACTGTGTCATGTATGATCTGTGTGGGCGTGGGAGGTATGGTCACTGTGTCATGTATGATCAGTGTGGGCGTGGGAGGTGAGGGAGGTATGGTCACTGTGTCATGTATGATTAGTGTGGGCGTGGGAGGTATGGTCACTGTGTCATGTATGATCTGTGTGGGCGTGGGAGGTCTGGTCACTGTGTCATGCATGATCAGTGTGGGTGTGGGAGGTATGGTCACTGTGTCATGCATGATCATTGTAGGCGTGGGAGGTATGGTCACCTCAACTGTTACTACAGTGTCAACAATTGCTCTTTCAGAACGCAGAACAGGATGGTCACTGTGTCATGTATGATCAGTGTGGGCGTGGGAGGTATGGTCACCTCAACTGTTACTACAATGGTTCTGCACAGCAATTGAATGACGAGGAGACGGTCAAGATGCTCAGAGAGCTTTGTCCCGAATTCCATGACGGTAAGCTTTTTTAATTTATTTTCTTGCTGCACACTTCGATATCTGCTAAATAAACCCTCATGACTGTCGTCCGATTTATTGCTGTACCTCTTGAAACACTATTTATTTTTCTTGTTCTGAAGACGTCGCTTCTAAAACTTTGTTTACTTAAAAGTATAAAGCTTTTACAACCTTCCTTCTTTGCATTCTTTTCTCATATCCTTGCATCAATGTCAAAATGTTTTTGTCCGTTTTTCGTGTTTCGATATTTATTCTGGTATTTTTAAACACCGAACATTAGGAACAGATTTATAAACCATCTTATAAACATTTTTGTCATCTGATTTATGACCCAATCCTTATAAACTCATGTTTTTGTTTTCTCTCGTAACTTTTCAACTTATTAAAAACCCTTTATGTATTTCTAAATATGTATATATTTTATACTGCCTAGTACTTGGGCGAGTGTTAGCGATAAAGAAGGTTCAAGACAAGATATGTAAGAGAGTTAAAACGGCCAGTCACGCTGTTCGGTTAAGAATATAGGTGGCATGGTAGGTGGCAAATGATGCTGACTGGTTATCCTCCCTCAAATTAGGGATAGCTGTGCTTGCATCTCTCTGATATGGTCATATAGCTTTTCAGGTTTCAAATATCAACACTAACTAGCGTCTAATATCCTTAATATAACAATATTCATGATTATTTAAGGAAAATCGTAAACAATAATTAATTCACTACAGACTTTTATTCTCATTTTATAAGTTAATCAGTTAATAACTCAAGATGAGTTAAAAACGGAAAACTTGTAAGTAACAATAACCTACTCCGAAACAATAGCCTAAGCAAAGCAAAAGTTATAGTTACGAAAGAAAACCTTCTGACTCCAAAAACTACCGCGATGAATCTTTTTGTCGTGATAATAAAGTAATAAGCAAACATTCAAGTTGAAAAAGGCTGCTTTTATGGAAAAAAAATGCCAACCTGGAATCTCAAGAATCTCTTCGTGTAATTTAAATGGACTACTAAACTATGGTCTTGGAAGTAGACGTCTCTACTTATAATTGTCTATGTCAGATAATAATGCATAATCATTAAACAAGGCACGATCATTGTGAATCATTGTCCTTATAAAATTTCATTAACCCTAAGTATATTCTGAAACCAATTAACAAGCATCCTCTTATCTTTACACACGAATCTATAATAATAAAGAGGGCGTGTTTGTGTGTGTGCGTGATAGGCATAACTCTAAGAGGAAAGAACCTAGAAACCTGAAATTTTGCACATATACTAAGTAGACCCTGAGGATGTGCACCAGGGTATTATTACTTATCTTATGCACATGCGTGCATGCACATATTTTTGTAAGGTAAGCAAGCGAAAAAAACACATAGAAATGAATATGTGACCACCACAGCTCCAAGAGCAAAGAACCTAGAAACCTGAAATTTTGCACCCATACTAAGTGGACCCTGAGGATGTGCACCTGGGTTTTATTACTTATCTTATCCACATGCATGTGTGCGTGCATGCATGCGCATCTTTTTTAATGGGGGGTAAGCTAGCGAAAAACCACATACAAAAGAAGTGATTCTTTATATAACAACTTGTAATACATAGAAAAGACAGTACGTTCTGGTAACAGTGAGTTCCAACAAAGACTTTTATGTCATGTCGCTTAGTAACAAAAAGTATAACCTAATATTGTTGTTAGTCTATGAATCAGTCTATGTACTGAAAGTATAAAATGAAATGTATAGATGACAAAACTTGAAAAATATTTGTTGATTTCTAATTTAGAGTCTCTGTTCAATAAAGAGGTTTGTTTTTTTAATAAAAACGGTGGTGATATAACAGAAAATAGCTTAATTCAGAAACGATGTGAGTTTAAAATCCATCGTGATGTGACCCACACTGGCTTTTATATAGGTTAGATAAGGTGACGTATAGTGGCATCTATAACTTAGTCATCTAGATAATATCAATCTAATAATCCGGGTACTTTCACTAGTGTATAATAATGTATAGCATGTTGTGTTCAATTTAAAACAATATGCTCCATGTTACTAATAACACATTGATATAAGTCTAAAAGCTTTCCGCTAATTTATAACATAATGAGGTCAATCTAACAGCTTTCTATATAGTAGACTTGTATTTTTGTTATTTATAATGTTTAAATTGGAGTCAGTCTGAAAGATTTCTACTAGATCTATTTTCTATCTATCTCTATTTGACGCCCCTCAGTGGCACAGCGGTATGTTTGCGGACTTACAACGCTAGAAACCGGTTTTCGATACCCGTGGTGGACAGAGCACAGACAGTCCGTTGTGTAGATTTGTGCTTAACTTAAAAAAAACAAACTCTAATTGACATTGTAAGAAAAATTAGTTGAGTCTGAAATCTTTTTTCTAGGTGTATTGTTTTGCTTGAATCATATTAACAGTGTTGTAAGCTACATTTTTAATATTTGAATTTAGATTTTTATCTAGAGGGCACATGACATTAAGATCAAGATTTTAAGATTTAAGTTCATAAAAGTAGCCTCAGAGTACCTTGAATTTTTTTTAATGTTAATGTTAATATCTGCAAACAAGGATACATTATAAATATAAGAATAAGTGAAGCATTCAGTTCAGTTAAATTCGTTCAGTGATTTAGAATTCAATGAAATATTCATTTGAGTAGTGAATGAGACTTCAGAGAAGCTAGTGAATGATGGGTATATATAGTGTTTGTAGTCTATTAAGTTAATCAGTCTGTTAGTAACAAATTCCTTTGAAAGTGAAAACGTTATTTGTGAACTTAGGTTTGCAAATGTGTACAAGTGAAAGTAGCCTGTAGGAAGCATTAATGAAGAAATAAACTATTTTTTATCGTTGCCTGGACTGGACTTCTCATTAATTTTACCAAATAATTTAAAAGAACCCACCCAATGACAGAACACATTACAACAACTGTTGTCATAGGTGGAATCAATTTGATGAAAATAAAATAGAACATTGAGTAAGCTTTAACTTTCGAGATGATCTCAGAAGACGATATTAGTGCTTAACTGGAATTAGTGAAACAGTTGAAATCAAGAACAAGAATTCGGAAAATTAGATGAAGAAGACAGAAAATTAGAAGAAGACGAAGAAGAATATTTTAGAAAATGAAAAGAAAGTCATGAGGTAAGAGACGAGAATTGAAGAAAGGAGTTAAAAGAAACAGACATAATACTTAAAGAAGAATTAATAACAAACATAAATCTGATTGAAGAGAAGTTTACAGAACAATGTAAAGAGTGATTAAAATAAGATTGAAAAGTACAGTAAAAAAATAGTGAATTACAGGAAAGCTGTAATGACAAAGCTGAAGTGCAGAAAGATTATAACAGCAAGATCAATAAGATAGAATAGAACATAAATGTCAATGACAGAATAATATATTTAGAAAAAGATTGATAACTCCAAAGCACAAACCAAAAACACATTTTTCTGCACCCACTCACGAATTCCAACCTACAACTAGTTCTAATGAATATGATCCTATTTGGTCTACTTCTGTTACTGTAAGGTCTTCCTGGTCTACTCCAGCTATGTAACTATCAAATTCAGTTCTAGAATTTAGCTGGGCAGTTCAACAAAATTGAAAAACTAATGGACTATGATGGTAAGGTACCATGGGAGACATATCAGGCTCGGTTTGAAATAATTTTTAAAGTGAAAAGATGGAATACTAAACAACAAGCTATTCATTTTGCTGCTCATTTAAAAGGACCAGCTTTAGTGACATTAAGAAATCTTCAAGCCGAAAGCCATAACTATCAAATATTGATAACTGCCTTATCCAACAAGTTCAGAAGGAAGTATTGAGGAGAGGGTATGGAGAAAAGAAGATATCTTAGACAAACTAGCAGAAGATTTACACTGTGAAATGATGGGTTTATTGGCTTGTGACCAATTTATAGATGCTAAAACAAACGAGATATAAGAATTTGATTGAAGCAACTTAAGACTACATTTTAAAGGAAGCTCTACAACTGGCAATGGAACTTGAACCATGAAAGTTCCAGATGAACTATTTCAGGCACTCTTTAGAAGTTACGGGACCATCAGGCCCTGTAGTATTGAAATATAAACTCCTTTTGACGATAGTCTAGAAGAAATAAAATGATTAATTAGGCAACTAGTTAAACAGAATAGAAGAAATAAAGTAAAAATCAATAGATGTTTCCAGTGCAAATTGAAAGAGTATATTGCTCAAAAGTACAGACAAAAGTCTGTACGGAATACGAATTCCTCTCAAAGGATACCAGAAAGAGAGAACTGTTAGTAAGTTAAGAAACCTGGCTATTACAGTGGAGACTGTGAGGAACCAACAGTTATTAATGCACCAAAGAGACAATACTTTAGTGACGAGTCTTTGAGCCCAATCAGATGAAAGGGACACTAAAGGCTAACCAGTCGTCCGTAAATAGTAATTATTTGGACTTATGAGACGATGTTCAGCTCAGAATGCCTTATATTCTCCAAATGAGATATAAAGTTCATTAAAAAAGATGAGTCCAGGAGTCCACTGGTTTATTTATAGAAATTCTTGCAGTGTGTTGTTCGACACTGGCTACAACATTTCAAACCGAGTATTTGGTAATGGAAGTTGAGAAATTTCCTAGATATGAAGAAAGAAGAAAAATTGATGTGAACAACAAGTGGACGTAAGGTTCCAGAGTGAGGAAAGTTAGAAATTTCCCTTACTGTTGGAAACTTTTCTGTCTCACGATGCGAGGATAATTATATCGAGGAAAAGTTCACATTGGAAATTAACTTCAAGCACAGACACTGATGCAAGGTTAGGCCAGCTTCAAATAGCTTCACAATCTATGACCAGGAAAATCATGAAAATTATTACATCACAAACTGAGCTTCCAGTGAGAACATGGAGACCAGTCATTGCACCAACAGGGCTTATTAGAAATAAATTTACATCTAGTGACCAGACACTTCAGCATGTCCCGATATATTAATGGCTGGAAGAACTCTCAAGGATCTGAAGAACAAAGGCCATGAACACAACGAACTATAAAATTCTAATCAGGTCTAGATAGGTCATACCAAAATATGAAGCTGTATAAGTAGTACTTTCACATCAAACAACATCAAAAGTGGTCACTTTTGAGGCAAGATGTGGGAATTCTGATGTCAAATCCACTTACGGTGGAGGTCTTATAATTGATTGATGCCATATATTACATAACTTTCTTACGAAATATCAAGACACTTTATTCAGTGGACCTCATGACTCAGGCCACACAAATTATATATCTCACAAAATTAATAACAGAGATACAGCCCCAATATATTAATTAACCAGATGATTTTCTTTCGCAAAATATAATAAGACTTTCATGGAAATGGAAACCATGAAGAAACAACGAGTGATGAAATCAAGTACTAGTCCTTCGCATCCTGTATTGTTCTTACGGAGAAGAAGGATGGATCCACAAGGTTCTACATGGACTACTGGAAGGTGAATGAACTCACTAAGAAGGATGCCTACACACTGCCAAGGAATGATTCTACTTTTGATGCTCTATATGGATGAAGATGGTTTTCATCATTAGATCTTAATAGTGGATTTTGGCCAATGATTAGCTAAAGAAAGTTCTGGAGTGGTTGAGGAAAGAGAACCTTACGTTAACACCCAAGAAGTGCGAAATGTTTCGTCAACAGGCGAGATTCTTGGGACACACAATAAGCAGAAGGGGAGTGTCTATAAACTCCTATAAGGTTGATGAAAACCGCAGTATATGGAACGAACTGTCAGAAGTCTGTTATCAGAGAAACTAGTTTCACATAATAAGCAGAAAGGGAGTGTCTATAAACTCCTATAAGGTTGAGGAAAAAACCACAGTATATGGAACGAACTGTCAGAAGTCTGTTATCAGAGAAACTAGTTTCACATAATAAGCAGAAAGGGAGTGTCTATAATCTCCTATAAGGTTGATGAAATAACCGCAGTATATGGAACGAACTGTCAGAAGTCTGTTATCAGAGAAACTAGTTTGACACATTCGTAAGTCCTCTTCAGTCTCACGTTATCGTATAAGGTTGAATCTTTAAAGAACTGGCCAATACAAAGAAACTTGCTTTAAGTAAGAGGATTTCTTGGATTATGCTATTGTTGTTTTCTAAAAATCATTCTCTGACATAGTTTATTCTCTACACAAGTTACTTGAAAAGCCAAATCATTTTTGTTGGATTGTGAACAATCATTCAAGAAACTAAATTAACCACTACTCCTGAAGTAGAACTCATAAAGATTCTCCCATTTTAGATACAGATGACAATTATTTTGCACTAAGAGCAGTGTTATCACAAGTGTAACACAAAAAAGAAAGTGACTGCTTACCAAAAAAAGGCAATGAATGCTAAAGAAAGTAGGTATTGTATAACTCAATTATTTCCAACATAATATATACATAAACTCCAGGAATACAATCAGTGGAGACAGCAAATAGAGGCAAAGGGTTGCGGGTCTGAAACTTGTCTGCCTCTCCTAATTAAAAATTTTAGTAAAAGCTATGTTTTTTAGAATACAGTGTCGTCACTTACTAGGCAAATTTACACAAGAAAACAAAACATTATCCAATCTCTTGTTAGCCCTATTATCTTTATAGTCAATCACAGCAAAATTTTTCGTAGCTACTCAGTCAGTTTGAAGTTAAGCGAGAAATTTAAACTGGAACCAAGGAATAATAAAAAAAACCTGAAGAAGGTGCCTATAATATTAACGAAACTTTTTTTTATAACTTATAAATACATTTTCTTATTTTATATATTTGTGTTATGAGATTCTATAAGCTATTCTATAGAGTTGTATTTGAATATTATAATGTTCACTGAGTTAAATCTTTTTATATTAATTAGTTAATTAAGTAATTGATTTGCAGAGTCAGAGTAACACCCAATGGAAGAATACACCAAACCGATAAAGAACCTTGTACAACAGACAAGCAGATTTGTAATATTAATTAAAAAGATTTGCAGCAAAAATAATTATTTTTTCTTCGAGCTTCTTAATAATAATTCTTTCTTAGAGCTTCTTAATAATAATTTTTTCTTAGAACTTCTTGGTATATTTTCCATAGCTTTCCTTCCACTTATCTTTAAAAAAAAAAGAGCCTTCACCCTCAAGCTCATATATCTTTCACCTCTTCAGCTCCTCATTTTCAGAATTATGGAGTCGACACTGAGTATAACTTTAATACTATGCATCACCCTGGAAGAAACCATGAAAATGTTGATGCAATATGTGTTTTTGAGGAATGTTAACACCGTAAAAGGAAGGAAGCACAAGATAGTAAAGGTGACCAACTTGGAGTACAATGATGTTATGCAGGAATGTTAACATCGTGAAAGGAAGGAGGCAAGAGATAGTGCATGTGACCAACTTGAAGTACAATGATGTTATACAGAAATGTTAACACCGTAAAAGGAAGGAAGCACAAGATAGTAAAGATGACCAACTTGAAGTACAATGGTGTTATGCAGGAATGTTAACATTGTGAAAAGAAGGAAGCACAAGATAGTGAAAGTGACCAACGTGGAGTACAATGATGTTATGCAGGAATGTTAACATCGTGAAAGGAAGGAGGCACAAGATGGTAAAGGTGACCAACTTGGAGTACAATGATGTATAAGCAAAGATGTGACATTCACAAGTGATGACTGAAGAACTAATGTGGTCTAACACTCAACTAAAAGATAAAGTTTGAAACCCATTATTCAATGAATCAAGAATAGCGCAGATAAACCTTCATGGCAAACAATCGCTCCATACAGCCTGAAAACGAAGATGGATTATGTCATGTCGGAAATGGGAAGATATCAGTAGATAGAAACAACAAGTACTGTTGGTACTTCCACAGTCTCTGCATTCTGAAGCACTCCGTCATTTCCACAGCCTTACAAAGACTGGAAGTTAGGTATTTAGAAGAAACCTGAGCGAGTAAAAGAACATTTCTGTTTGGTTGGGTGCCAGAACATTTCTATTTGATTTGGTGCCAGAACATTTCTATTTGGTTGGGTGCCAGAACATTTCTATTTGGTTGGGTGCCAGAACATTTCTATTTGATTGGGTGCCAAGAACATTTCTATTTGATTTGGTGCCAGAACATTTCTATTTGATTTGGTGCCAGAACATTTCTATTTGGTTGGGTGCCAGGAAAATGTGTAGAATTAGTATAAATCGCGTAAGTTATACTGTAAGCATAACAGAAGAAACAGCACAGGCAGCTACAGCAGTATTTTCTTGGAGCACCACGTCAGAAAGGTACTGTCGACATGTTTGATTCTCTGTCCTAGAGTAACAGTGAGAATAAATGCATCATGGTTGTGATGGTTGTTTCACCAAATGGCCATAAGAATATACTGTTCATAACCAATAAGCAGAAACACTAGCAAGGAAACTTGTTAAGGAATTCGTTTCAAAATCTAATGTGCCTATTAACTTTCTCTCAGATCAGAATAATTTTACATTTCGGAGAATTGTCAGATCCTTGAAATAAAAAAGATCGGGATAATAGCCTTTCATCCGTCTACTGATAGCATGGTGAAGAGATACAACAACACACTTTTAAATCAACTAGCCATTTATGTGAATGAAAATCAGAAAACTTGGGATCAAGATATTCCACTGTTACTGATGATACAGCAGTACATGAAATTACATGCCATCACTAATCACGTACTTCTGTACTCACATGCATACGATAAACAGTTTTACACAGAATATGTTGAGATTAACTTTGTCATTCACAGTATGTCATTCACAACATTCATAATGTAGTGTTTTATTCATTTTTAAATATTAGTATTGTTCAAGGTGTGAGATAGCAAATTATATATTTTTTATTATTATAGTTGTGTTTTTCTAATTTATTTATTATTTCCTTCTATCTTTTAGTTTATCTATTAATTTTTGGTGGCTAACTCACCTTCTAGCTAATCATATGTAAATACATATGTATGATGAAACTGACACCAGCTTCCCTAGAGGTGACGTACAGATAATATTAATATAGCAGAAGATTATGTAAATTTATGATCACCTGAGGTTGTACTCTCGTGACCTAATCAGTAAATAAATACCCTGCCAGACGCCTCAGAGAGAGAGCCATGAGATAGTTAGTGAATTATTGTTCTTTATCACTCGATATTGTTATTAACATTGAAAGGTATTTCTGGAATATTGTGTGTGTGCTTTTTTGTTTTTGTTTTTTGGAATTATGTTTTTTCTTTCTGGTTCTTTTTTCCGAATTCCGTCATTTCAGATAATGTTGATATTTATGATATATTGTTCATGAACATTGGTGTCAAGTCCTGGCCAGGAACGCGTTTATTAACTGAGTTTTGGTAAGTGTTGTATTTATTTCTAAGTTTTGTTGTTGTTGAACTCTGACTGTAGCGTTCTACACTGCTACAAAGAAACTTCGCAATCCAATAAGAAGGCAGTGTTGTAAGCTATATTTCCAATGTTTGAATATAGATGTTAGTTAGAAGATGCATAACGCTATGAAAATAGTCTTATAATAATTAGAATGTCACTTCCACTCCTGAAACTTAGTTTATTTCTTTTTCTGTAATAACATTTTACAATTTGCAGATGACTCGCTAACTATGTGATGCGAATTATAACTGATATATATCAACACTTTGTAAAACAACTAAACTACGATGTAAATGTTTCTACATTCAATGTTCCTTTTTTTCCAATATAAAATAGATAAGCCATTTACTTGCTGTACGAAGTCACAAGTGGAAAAGCTGGTGAAAGACCTGAAACTTCCTCGTCGTCTAGGATTTGGTAACTGTCCTTCGTGTGTCAGAAACTTCCAGAAGAACTTTTGCCAACTTACTTGTTCGCCCTATCAGAGCAGATTCCTCAGAGTTACTAAGACTATAATGAACGATGATGGTGAAGCCATGGTAGAAGAACTTGAATATTTGATGTCGTTTAAGTAAGTGAACTTTGTGTTGGAGATCTTATCCTTCTTGTCTTCCTGCTTAAACAAAATACAGTAAAACATCTAGTAAACGTATCTTCGTAACTGATGACACGTATACTAAAACATTTAGTGATTTTTTTCGATCTTGTCTTCCTGTTTGACGACAAATGCAGTCGAACATTTCGTGATCTATTAGTTCTTCTCTTCCTGCATGACAAAATATATACAAAAACATTATGTTAGGCCTGTTATATTTTTACCATTACATTCTTAATCTAGTCCGTTAGGGATTTTCAAGAATTAGAAGAGTGAATAATAATAGTATTTCAACCAAGCTATGTTTGTCATATTCATTCTCGACGACGCTCAATCCAGAGTTCTTCAGACCGACCAAAGTTTCCATTATAAACTCAAAAACTTTCTGCAAAGTAAGATAGTTAAAATAGTCAAAATATTAATTTGGAATTATGAGTGGCTATAGTTTATTCTGATATATGAATATAAGCAAATGAAACAAATGTTTTAAAGTACGTAGTGTGGAAATTGATTGATATTAACTTTTGAACTTGTAAAAAACAAGTAGTGGAGAAAGAACCTGCAGTGGCAGAACTGTAAGAACTCTTATTTTTACTATAACAACAGGTATGCTCAAGAGTTGTTCACTTCATGCGAAAACGTTGAGGGAATATTTCCTGGCAAGTCTCTACTGAAAGAGATGTTTTGTGGAAAATGGGAGAAAGATTGCAGTCCTCAGAGGTGGCTAGATTTTATGGGGTCTACTCCCGAAAATTCTGGCTTTGCCCCATTTCAAATCAATTATGTTTTGCACAACGAAACTGAAGTCCAAATTGATGGTCACCTTTTTTTCCCTATGAATGAAAAGACAACAAAGTAAGTGAATTAATCATAAAATGCTTTTTTTAGTTTGTTACACATTCGTATGAACTGTGCAGCGACTGGTATCATTGCGATTAAAGCATTTCGTGAACGTTAATGATGAGTAAAGAGGTTAAATATAGCTAAATTAACATTTCGTTTCCTGTGGATTTTACCTGTAGGTATTTCACGTTAGTTAGTTAAAAATGTTTTAGAATAAGAAAACAAAGTAACGTTCCTTTACCTCAGATCTGATATCAATCGTTGTTATGGTCACTTAAATGTAACTGATAATTAGTAGCTATTTTTATAACTAGATAGTAAATACTAAATAGTTTTATTTTACTTTTTGGCTGCCATCTTCAGAGAAGTCTTTAGAAGGATTACTTCTTTTGGTGATGGCCAGGTTTCAGTCCTTGTCTCTTTTAATGAAAATCTGTTGTCAATTTGTCTGTGGTCTACCCAATTAGAACCTGAATCAACTAAGTATTTAATTTTTTTCAAGAGGGTATCCAGGTTTTGCTGACTCCTAAACTGGATTGACTGAGTGTGTTATGAGTAGTATCAGTGTTATCAGTAGTAATTACCAGATAGATCAGTATTACTAGATCAGTAATAATTACCAGATAGATCAGTATTACTAGATCAGTAATAATTACCAGATAGATCAGTATTACTAGATCAGTAGTAATTACCAGATAGATCAGTATTACTAGATTAGTAGTAATTACCAGATAGATCAGTATTACTAGATCAGTAGTAATTACCAGATAGATCAGTAGTAATTACCAGATAGATCAGTAGTAATTACCAGATAGATCAGTATTACTAGATCAGTAGTAATTACCAGATAGATCAGTAGTAATTACCAGATAGATCAGTATTACTAGATCAGTAGTAATTACCAGATAGATCAGTATTACTAGATCAGTAGTAATTACCAGATAGATCAGTATTACTAGATCAGTAGTAATTACCAGATAGATCAGTATTACTAGATCAGTAGTAATTACCAGATAGATCAGTATTACTAGATCAGTAGTAATTACCAGATAGATCAGTATTACTAGATCAGTAGTAATTACCAGATAGATCAGTATTACTAGATCAGTAGTAATTACCAGATAGATCAGTATTACTAGGTATTTTGTCTATTATGCTCCTGAATTTTAAATTTTGTTCGATTTTTGTTTTCCTTGTGTATCGAAATACACATTCACCTAGAATGTTGTAAACGTTGTTTTTGTCTCCAGGTGATTTGGTGTGTCTGGAATGTTCTAAATGTTGTTTTTGTCTCCAGTGGGTCTCCATGTGTTTGGTGTGCCAACATACCAGACACACCAAACCACCTGGAGACAAAAACAACGTTTACAGCATTCCACCTGGAGACAAAAACAACGTTTACTGATTTGGTGTGTCTGGAATGTTGTAAACGTTGTTTTTGGTAGGTACTAATTACAATCGTATGTGCGTTGATGCTTCTGAATATTATTCAGATTGTATGTTGTTTACATATTCTCTGGATGTTTTCGGAGAGACTGTGACATAGGAGAATATGTCTGTAACTTTATACCTGGTTACTCTTGGTGTTTATCTTATTTATAGATTATTCGGGTATCCATTGTTAAAGAGGGTTGTAGTGATGTGTTTATATTCCATCTTATTTGGTATTACAAACCTTGTTCATTCTAGAAACTAGGCAGTCTATGATACCTGTGTCTACACTGTTGAGGTGGTTTCACTTATAGTCAAAGTATTTACCTGTATCTGTTGGTTTCCTATAAATTCCTGTGGTATGAGTTATGTGTTGGGTAACCAAAATGTCAACAAATGGGAGATTGTTATCTTATTATATTTCTATTGTGAATAGTATTGCAGAGTGTTGGCTGTTCATGTGGTTCATGAATTCTGAGTCTTATCAGAAGCGTGTGGCCATTATACAAAAGTATTATAAATATGACTGAGCCAAATCTTGGGGCGTAAAGCTCCTATTTTATGTAAAACACGAGAGATAAGAATGAGTTAGGCCTTCTTGTTGTTGATAGTATTTTTCTTCATGCTGGAAATAGGCTGTGCTGATACAGTAGGTTGTAGGTTCTGTATCGGCGAAGATTACGAGATGGATGCATACCTTTAGAGTTCTGTCATTTTTAGTATATTGTTACGTCTCTGGTCGTTAGTTAATTTTCCGTAAAAATTCTTTCCGAAAAAGCTTTAGCGATACAAGTCCTTTCTTAAATAAAATTGATTTATTCTTTCTGAATACAACTTTGCAATACACTTAATTTCCACAGTCACGTTATAACAAACGCTATAATTCACAACGAACGACTCTCGTGCTCGACTCAATTGTCAGTTTCTATCTCTGTCTGCAGTTCAATTACATTGTTGCCGTCACTTCTTGGCGGTCTTATATACAAGAATACCGCATATCTAGTAAACACTCGAAGCTTCACGAAGGGACATGAATGTTCTAGAAGCTCATGACGTGTTACTAGCGTCACGTGACCCTCGCTGTCGTGACACTGCCCCTTCCTTAGTATTGTTCGTCCCGAACAATAGCCACTTACATTAAACCAATAAACGATTAACAATAACTTCATTAAATGTATAGAATTTACAAACACAAAATCAAAATTCAACAAAGTCTCTTAATTTTACGGGACGTATCTTCTTCCGTACTGGTCTCCATCTCGTTGGCTTCTGCTTCATGTGGGGTTCATCTGCTTCATCAGGAAACGTCACATCATTGGTAAAAGTCACACCAGTGGTAGTAACTTCATCAAGGGCTTCACTGTTTCCCTTCTCAAAACTGGGTAGAGTTTCTACTTCGACAGTGGCTTTTTTCAGGTGACACGTCTTCAGT